TTTAGTTGTGTGTTGTGTGTTTTCTATTCTAGTGTGGCTAGCGAGGCTCTAGGCGGTTCGATCCGTCCTCTCAGTTTTTAGTTCTTGGTTGTATTATTCAGCCTTGGGCTGTTTTTTTTTTTGCACAGTTGTGCGTTTTGATATATAATACCTCTATCGTTTTGGAAAGAAAAAAAAAAGACATGCAGGCATATATAGGCCTACCAAAATGACATGTAATTATAGTCATCACTTCACATAATTCAATAAATATTATTTTTTAAAATATTAGTACGAATCTCATGCGATGCAAATGTAATAATATTTATAAATTTAAAATATTTATTAAATAATATTTATAAATTTAAAATATAGAATCAATATATAATATGATTTATCTATGTTAATTTATTGGAAATGTTTTATGACATTTTAAATTGTGCAAAATTATATAAACATGTCTATCTTAAACTAGTATACAACTCGTATGGTGCACCTATGTGATAATAAATTAAATTATATTCATTTAAAACAAAAAAGTGTAATTTTAAATTTTTTATTTCGAATTTTGATTTGACTAATATGTGATTCTATAAAATATTTATTTTGATAAAATTTTATCATATATTTATAAATATGTTAATAATAAGTATAATTATACAACTTATTGTTTGATTAATAAAAAATAAATTTATTTTTGTATAAACTATAAAAAAAAGAGTAGCTGAGTAATTTATTAAACTTGATTTACAACCAACTCAATAATGACTCGTAAGTTATGAATAATAACTTATTTGACTATTCAATTTGAAACCCAAATTTGGACTACGCAATAAATTTTCTTATATATATATATATATATATATATATATATATATTATCTCACAATTTTTTAAATTTGTTGTTTTACGTTATCGTTCAAATTTATAAATTAATTCTCTGTAATTAAATTATAAGTTATACATTTTTATTAACCAATATCTACTCAAAATATTTCTAATTTTCAAGATGAATACTTACCAATTTTCTGAATTATCATCAACTAGTACAACGCCCGTGTATTACACGGGTGCTTGCTGTTGTGTACAAATTATTCTTTTTACCGAGTACCGAATCGAAAGATTCATTCTCCGGGTCGATCTCACGAGGAAGGCTGTTCCGAATTTAGCTTTAATATTGATAGCACGAAAGAAGCAAAATAAATCCTAAACATGCTAATCAGATAAAGGGTTTGAAAACTATCTACTACGAAATAATAAAAAGCAAGAATCTACCTAAAAAGATAAACGAAATAAAATGGAGAAGCTAGGGAGTCGGGGATAATTAATTCAAGTTCTATATGCAAAACCCGGACATTGATCATTCTATTTCAGATTGACACTCTCGCTTAAACATCTAGCGGTTCGCTCCCAATAACTCCTCGTAACAAGGGATTGAACATAGACGAACAAACTCGAGCATACGACACAGGCCAAGTATCCCATCCCAATAACTTTTCGTAACAAGGGACGGGTCATCGACAAGTGCGTATTTCAATCTGAAACATGTAGACTATTCAGTTATGAAATTATCTACCTCATGCGAGCCTAGGTCTACGACTTTTTCCCTTTCGGTTTAAAGGTCGCTAATTAAATTAGAAGAGAATTAATCAACTAATCATATGAAATCGACAAAACCCTAACTCGACTAATCAACATTCAATTGTTACCAATTGTGATCGAAGTGTCACTCTTCGATTGTATCAATCAATCTAGCAAGAATATATTAAGTCCTAGTCAAAACAACCCACATAAGCATGAACAATTCAAAGCCCGACAAATGCACGTTAAACAAGAACAATTATCCCCTATCACTAGCAATCAGATTCAGCTACGTAAATCAAATTCAAGAAACATAATTATTCTTCTCAAGCTAACCATTGTTCAGGAGTTAAACAAGAGAAAGAAATACTTACAATAAATCGCAATCCCAGAGTTGAATTTGAATTACAAGCTTAAACCCTAACTAAGAAGAAGAAGAAGAAAAAAAAAATGGAAAACAAAGATAAAAAGAAGAAGAAAAATGATGGAGAAGAAGAAGAAGAAGAGGGAGAAGAGAGGATCTTGC